AGCTGTCGAAACACCAATAAAAGACTCGAGGTAAACAAGAACCCAAATCTTATAGGAAGGAATATTTGATAATTGTTTCTCAACCATTAAATAATTAAAAGCATAATATTTTCTTTTAAATAAACTTTTATATTTTGTTTATTAATAAATAGTTTTATTAAATAAATAATATTTTTTGACCATTCATTTAATACCTCTTCCCAACTTAATTTATTTAATTAAGTTAAATTGAGGAAACAGATTAGGGAATAATTATAAGTTCATTAGATTAGGAAAATTTAATAATATTTAAAAATTTCAAATTTAAATTTTAGTCATAACATTATGTTATGTCATATTTATTTAAAGATTTTAATTATTATTAATTTTTCCTACTCTTTGAATTTATAATATTTCCGTATTCTAACTCCTGAATTTAATTTAGTTAAAAGAAACTGTTATGTCATAAATATTATTTTTAACTAATCTGAACTTATAATTGTTCCCTATTCTAATTTCCTCAATTTAACTTAGTTAAATTAACTAAGTTGGGAAGAGGTTTATCAAATGAATGATTTAATATAATATAAAAATTATTTATTTAAAAAAAAAATGTAAAATGTTCTTAACAATTTGTACAATCAAATAATTCCTTGTTTGAATATTTGGTATGGTTACCTTTAATATGTTTATATTGAGGAGTCTTCAATGGGCACCTGTTGTATTAACCTCCTAAGGATGGATCTTCTTGGTCGTTAAGATTTTATTACTGTATTGACACGTATATTTTAACTGATGTACTATGACGACACTTTAAAAAACTTTGATAGAGCAAAAATTATATAAAAAATTGTTATTTATTTTAAAAAATAGATACAATCCATTATCCTCAACTTTTGAAGAATGTAATAAATTAATGACTCTTTGTACAAAACATAAATTAGAAAAATTTATATATAAATTTTTCTCACAAATTAAAAAAGAATGCTCTATTTCAGTTTATGTACACGATAAAGTAGAAACTGTTTTTATAAACGATTTTTCTGTTGGCCAAACTCTTGTCGCCAATAAAATGATAAAAAAAATATTATCTATTTCAAACTCTTTTCAAATTAAAAACAAAAAACCAAAAAGAAAGAGTTATTCTTAATATTCCTAATATTAAAAGACGAAAGAATTCAATAATTTTCTCTACTCCTGAATGCTAAACTGCTAACAAATTGTTACCTAAATCCTCAATTTCCAACATCATTAATGATCCTAAGTTCCAAAATTCTAATTTCTCTAAAATTTCTCCAAATTCTAAAATTCGTCAAAATAGTAAGAAAAAGGTCAAGAGTCTGGTCATTTGTAAAAAATGTATTAATTGTGGTTATCATATAAAAAAATATAAATAAAATAAAATAGAATAAATTAATGAATAAATCTCTGTTTCAGAAGCAACAACTCAGTTTAAGTTTTTCAAACTTTCTATATCTTCTCTATTTTTTAATCCAATAGTCAACTACAATGGTTTTTTTTCTTCGTAAAAGATGACACTTTAATGTCGATTGAAGAACTAAAAGCAATCACGTTTTTTTTAATCAATAAATTTAAAAATTTCTTTTTTTCAAAAAAGTTACTGTCAGATAAAAACGTAAATATTGCGCGAACTATAAGTCTAATTGAAAAATGTCATCAATACTTTTTTGTAGAGAATTTAATTAGCTTTAACATGAGCACAAAAAAAATCGGGTGAGTACTTACCGAGATATTTGCAAATTAGTGTAGTATAAATTTTTGTTTTTCTGATTTATAAAATTTTCCTATAAATTTTTTTTTTATTATTTTTAATATAAAATATTATTTATTTACACACACACAAAATACATACATACATACATTAAAAATACAAATATATTTATTTTTACACTAAATCCGAAATTATATTTTTTTTATAATAATACTGCCTGCCCATAAACCACCTTGCCCCTTGTTGAGACTTTCTCATCTCCTTTACAAGTGCAACTTTTAAATGCACGGGATATTCGTGCCATTCATATGGAAGCGTATATGTCACTCCATCATACAAGAGCTCTGGATATACCCTTTCGAACCTTTTTCCTCTCAATTCAATAAAGGCTTTTGCGGGAACCTGTAATAATGAATACATGGTATACTCAGATTTCAAAAGTATATTCCTGTAACTAAAATTTAAACCATTAAAAATGAATTTAAAATGAAAAGAATTTGGGCGAGAGGGGGGTGTCCGAGTTGAAAAAGAATGCCTCTTAACCCACACAGCACAGTATATTGCTGTAAGCTTACCTCAAGCTTACATGTAATTTTTGTAAGCTAACCCTGTAAGCTTCAGGTAAGGTCGAGGTAATATAAAAATGTCCGCCATACAGTAAGCTTACACAGTAATGTCATGGTTAACTTACATTGTAAAGTCATGGTAAGGTTACAGTAAGCTTACACGGCAAGTTTTCAAAGGTATCAATAAATAATTTTTTAAAAATATTTATGCGCAGTAGCTTTCTATGGCACTTACGAATGCGCAGTAAATTTTTTTAAGCAAACCCTACCGGGGTTTTTATATAAATGATAAAATAAATATAATTGTGCAAAACAATTTATTGTTTACTGTAAGTTGATAAATTAATACTTTGTTCTTTGTTAGCAATTAATATAAGCTTACCGTGTAAGCTTACTGTAACCGTACAGTGATGTTACCGTGTAAGCTTACCATGACTTTGCAATGTAAGTTAACCATGACATTACTGTGTAAGCTTACTGTATGGAGGACATTTTTATATTACCTCGACCTTACCTGAAGCTTACAGGGTTAGCTTACAAAAATTACATGTAAGCTTGAGGTAAGCTTACAGCAATATATTGTGCTGTGTGGGAATATATGTGACAGTCCCCGAGAGAAGGGACCTTAGCTCACCAGAGGTCAATATTGAGTTTTATATGGTAAATGATAGATTTTGAATTGCTTTTTCACATGCAAAAGTCAAAAACTGATTAGGATAATTGCTTTTGACACAATAACATTTTGAAGATGGGTATGTCAAGCGCATTTCGAGGCGGATTGTGGCACTCAAGAAATCAGCCCCACTACTTTACTTACACAACTATACTCTCGCGTACGTGAGCTTCGCTCGGTTCGTGCTGACTGAGACCCGAAGATACACGAAGTAGACGAAGCTCACGTATACAGAAACACAACGTTGTGTTAGTGTGGTGGGGGAACTTTTCAGAAGTTCCGCCCCACTCTTCGAGTTCCGCGTTTCTGCTTCTTCTTCAAACGCTTGCCCTGTGAAATTCGTTTTGGTGAGCTAAGGTCCCTTCTCTCGGGGACTGTCACATATATAAATTTTTCTAATTTATTGTTATGTCATAAATATTATTTTTTATCTAGTCTAAACTTATAATCGTTCCCTATTCTAATTTCCTCAATTTAACTTAGTTAAAATAACTAAGTTGGGAAGAGGTTTTTACTAAATGAATGATATAGTATTATATAAAAATTATTTATTTTAAAGAATATAAATGTTCCCGACAATTTGTACAATCAAATAATTATGAAATCTATTATATAAGATTTGGTAAAGCTACCTTATTTTATGTTATGGTGGAGTTTCCAAATTTTCTTCGTGAGTTTTGATGATTCGGTATTCTATTGAGTTTTTTTTACGACCGCTCGTAAAAGTTTGTTATTGATGGGTGTCACTGTTGAAACTTAGACTTTTAACTTCCGTATATACTAGAACTGTATTTTAACACATGAACTCCGTACGTATGATTTTTGGGACTGCCTTTGAAGTGAAAGGTCTCCCTTTATATAGGTATATTTTCCTACGTATTCTTCGCGGCGGTACCAGCTCGCCTCTTTGGGTTAGTTTCAAGATTTCCTCCCCAAATCGAGCATGGTGGTGAAACGAAGTGTAACAACGTGGTCGACAATTTTGTTTACATATATATTAGTAGATTTATTATTATTTTTTTTGTTATTATTTTTATTTATTTATTTCCCTTTTTTTGTTATTAGTTATATATATATATGTATATGTATATATATATTCTTTTTTTTTTTACATGTATTAATTGAAAGATATTATTTTAACAAAGGTATAAATATTTATTATAAATGTTTTAGTTCTGTTACATATGTTATATAAACGAAGTTATTGTTACGTCTCAAAAATAAGAAATAACTTTAGAAACAATATTTTATTTTATTTATGGCCGCTCGGTGATTCAGTGAATTCCTGTTTCATTTACAGAGCAGAAGGCTCTGAACTAAGGGTACAGGAAAGAAAGAGAATAGTAATTAATTTTATAATTAGATTACAATATCGCTCGAAACATCGTTCGCAAGAAGAACTCCATTTTATTAATTGGACTTTATCGCTCCAGGTATCTATCTCATTTTCATGATTATTGAAATCATATCGCATATGTAATCTTTTTAACATTGTCTGAGCGAGTTTTCTTTTAGTGTCTTTTGTATTTGAATGTTTCTCTATAGATACTTCTAAATAATCATTTTCATGTTCTATAGAACACGTCGCTATGTCTTGGTCCCTCGATTCCGGTATTAAGTATATAGGTTTTGTAAACGAGAATTCAATGGCTAAATTCTCCAAATCTGTTACTGGAGAATTTACCCGTTTCATAGTTTGCGCGTTCATATTACCTAAAAGAATTTAGGATCCAGTTAGGTAAGGTCATAAATTTTCTTAAAAGGTTACAAGTTAAAAAGAGATTCTATTCTTAATTCTATGTTTTCTTTTTTTTTTTTTTTTTAGAATTTTTTTTTGCATGTTTTCTTTTAGAATAAATGGGAAAAGAAAAGGTATATCCGTTTTTTTATAGAACATATATATATATATATATGTATATACAGATATATATATCTATATGTTCCAAGAGAGAAAAGTAAAGGTGTTATAGAAGAAAAGATAGTTTTTTGGAAAATAGTCATAGTAAGAAATTTGTGAAAAGAAAAAAAAATTGTAAAAGTGGGGAAAATTGTACAAGAGGTGGGGAGAAAATGTCCAAGAATTATAAAAAGGTGTTAGGATGGGTTGACAACTTTAGTTTAGGAAAGGTCAGTGCCTATTTACTTGTCATCAAAGTTCTTATTTTTTTTTTTTACAATAACGCGATGTCTGAAGATTTTAGTGTCGATTTAGATGCTTTTTTGCAAGAGGAGAAATTCTCCTCAAGTGAAATAGAGGAGTTTTTAAATGATTTGGAATTTAAAAATTTTATTTCTAAATTGGAGGAAGTGGAAGCCAGGAATTCCGAAGACAGTGAAGGTGTAGAAGAGGAGGCAGTTTCTGTATCAATAAAAAGGAAAAATGAGGAAAAAGATTCGATAGAAAAAAGAAGAAAAAGTGACAGTGTGGTGGAGAAGTCAATGTCAACGGTAGAGAGGAAACAAAATGAATATATTGAACTTGATGGTGTAAAGGAGGAGTTACCCACCCATTTAAGGTCTATAAATAAAAGAACTGAACTAGTGGCCGAGTACAACTGTCAGGGGCCAAAAGGTGTTCTGTGTTAGAGGAGCTTATTATTCAATAAAGAATAATCGGCTGGTAAATGTAAGTACATTTATATTTCATAGTTATAATTATTATTATTATCAATAATTTTGAATTTGAAAATAAGTAATAAATTTTATTGTTACAGATTCCTTCAAAGTCAATCTTTGAATTAGGGGGAAAAAGATTTGAGAGGATGTATCCCGAATTTTTATATGATGACGTCACCTATATTTTGCCTTACGAGTGGCACGGCTATCCACAATTTTTAAAATTAGAATTAGTGAGAGAGATGAGGAGCGCTCATCACGGTTTACGATGGTTTATGGGCCGTCAATATTATTATAAGGGAAATGTGATATCGGATTTAAATTGAAAATATATTTTGATGTATGTATGTATGTTGTATGTGTGCATGTATGTATATTATAATTAAATTGACAATAAAAAAAAAGATAAATAAATAAATTTTATAGGAAAAATGTTTTTGTTTTAATATACCTGTATCCTTTCCTTAAAGTTATATTGCATAATTATAAATTCTATATTAATTTATAAAAGTATCTTATTATTATATTTTTTTATATATATATTTTTTTTATTTATTTATTATTATAATTATAAAATTATTATTATTATTATTATTATTATTAGGGAGAGTGGTCCTATGTCGGCCCTGTGGGTAAAGTTGGCCCCCCCGAGTTTCTCAGAGCTGGCGTTCGCGTCGAATTAATAATTTTGTGGTGTGACATATTAACAAACACTAAAATAATTATTTTAGTGTATGTAAAAAAAGAGTTTGTTTAAAATTATTAATTGGACGCGAACGCCAGCTCTGAGAAACCTGGGGGGCCAACTTTACCCACAGGGCCGACATAGGACCACTTTCCCCTATTATTATTGAATACAATTACAATTACAATTATTATTATTACAATTACAATTACAATTATTTTTGAAATTAATTGATATAATGGTAAAGTAGATTCAAAAAAAATTAATCTTCTCCTTTGATAATAATGTAATTTGATTTATGTTATTCTTTACTATATAAACTTATACTGAACTTTAATCATTATAGCGCCTACCTAGATTTAGTTAATATTTTATATTTTGTATTGTTACTTACGTAACTATTAGAATTTAGGAGTACTTTTGTACGAAAGGGCATGTCCCGTTAATAAATGAAATTGAAATTAAAATTATTATTATTTTTTTTTTTTCTTTTTTTGAATTTGAATTTGAATTTTGAATTTTTATTTGAATTTTAAGCAACTGGGGTATCTAAAAAAAAATTTGTAGATGAGATTAAAAGAAATTTTGAAAATTTGAAAAAAAATAAATAAAATCTCAATTTACATGTTTTAAATCTCAAAATTTCGTGGCACGTTGTGGTAATCAAATTTCGGTATTGATACGAACTACAAGAAAATGAAGTTTAAAAATTTTTAAAAATTGATTTTTTTTTATTTTCGAATATTTGAATTTGGGAAGAGAAAAAAAAATTTCAATCTCGATTTACATGTTTTAAATCTCAAAATTTCGTGTCACGTTGTGGTAATCAAATTTCGGTATTGATTAAAAGAATTCTTATAATTATGAATGTAAAAGTTACGGTGACGTGACATTATATAGATTATTCTAACGAAGATAGAAATATTTATTACAAATGTTTCAGTTTCTTACATATATTATTTAAATGAAGTTACATAGATTATTTGAACAAAGGTTACATTTTTAACAATATTTGTTATAAAAAATTTTATTTTGTTAAATAAATTATTTAAGCGATGGTAAGTATATTTTAACATGTTTTATTTTTGTTATTTTAATCTTCGATCTTAACTAATACATCAACTCCCTGTCGGATTTCTTTTCTACTTTTAAGGAATTTTTCAATACATGCAAGGCATTCTGATGCCTTGCATCTATCTGTAACTAATTCTTCTCTGCATAAATGGCAATAGGTAAATATACGAATAAAATTGGCAATTGAGTGCCATTCAAAAAATTCTGTGTATTTTTCCTTATCAGTATCGTCTAGGGTTTCGTAACAAAATGAACATAGTCTAACTTCTGTTTTTTCGTTAAAGTATAAAAAGAAAATATAAGGTAACAATTTCATGCAGGAGCATGCTAATAATAGGCTATAAGTCGCTGGGTATTCTGTGGGTATTACACCGTCGATTGTTTTATTTGGAATAACTTTAGGAATTTCTTTTGTAGGAATCATTTCGTTATTCCTTGTAATCTAAAGTAAAGTATTTCGTATGTTTATTATCTTGTTTTTATTTTTATTTATTTATTTTTTTTTATTTTATTTTTTTTTATTATATATATATTTTTTTTTTAACATATATTTTTACTTATATTCTATATATAAAAGTTTTAATAGTAATTCTTATTTAATATCTATTAAAGAGAAAAAATTTTAAATTAATTAATTAACCATAGTTAATTTCGGTCTCGGCATCGGAATCGTAATTTTCGCCTTCAATGAATGGATATCTTGGATCAAAGTAAATAGGAACACCTACCAGATCTGGGTGGTATTTGTGGGCGTTCCTCTTTATTTCGATCGTGCAGCTCTCGCATTCATTTGCACGTCTTTTTATATAATATAATTGAATTTGGCAAAAATTACATTTTAAATTATTAATGTTATTACATGGCAAATGTGTTACATTAAATTCCTCATATAGATTTATATTCTCGCAACAATTTTCGCACGAAAACTTATCTCCTATTTTATATATTCTGCGGTGTTAGTAAATGACACAGCAATAGAATAATGACAGTATATGTTTAATTATGTGAACTTTTTTCTGATACGTATTTTCTTGTACTTTATTCGGTTGCTGATCTACCGGAAGCATCTGAACAAAATAATAATAATAATTTTTTTTTATAACATACTTATTTTTTGATTATAACTTTTATTATTATTATTATTTTATATATACAATACTATTCTCATGCAGTTTTTTTGTTAGAAAAATTAATGTTTATTTGTTAATTAACTTTTTTTTTGTTTGGGGGCTTTTTTGTCTCTTTTTTTTATTTTTTGAAGGAAAAAAGAAAATCTTTGTTACTTCAAGATAAAAGTTTTGCAATTTTTTTATTTGCAAAAAGAATTTTTTCTCTTTATTTTTATATATATATATATAGATATACATCTATACATCCCTCCCTCCTTTAAGAGAAAAACGAGAAGCATTCGAAGTTTTGACATGAATACAGAGTTAATGATGTTAATGATATTTAGATATACAACAAATTTTGGCTTAATTCTAATCTGGGTATTTTTTATTTCTTTTAAAATTAAAGCAATTTGTCGCCACATGGTATCGTTCGAAACATCGCTCGCAGGAAGATTCCCATTTAATTAATTGAACTTTATCGCTCCATTCATCTATATCAGTTTCAATGTTATTGAAATCATATCGATCATATAATCTTTTTAACATTACTAGAGCTAGCTTTCTTTTTGTGACTTTGATATTTAACTGTTTTTCTATAGACACTTCCTCCAAATAATCGTTTTTATGTTCTATGGAACATGTTGCTATTTCTTGGTTACTCAATTCCGGTATTGAATATACGGGTTTTGAAAATGAAAATTCGATGGCTTAATTTTCCAAGTCTGTCACTGGAGAATTTATCCTTTTCGTAATTTGCGCGTTCATATTACCTAAAAGAATTTAGGATCCAGTTAGGTAAAGTCATAAATTTTTTAAAAGGTTACAAGTTTAAAGATATAGAGTGTTCTTAATTCTATGTTTATTTTTTTTATTACTTTACTTTTTTTTTCTTTTCCTTAAATGTATATATATATATATATTTGAGAGAAAACAAAAAAAATTCCTTTTTGAACTTTTAGGTACGTTTTTAGAATAAATGGAGAAAGAATAAGGTGTGTCCGTTTTTTTATAACTTTGTTCTTATATATACATTATATATATATCTATATATTTTGAGAGAAAAAACAAAGGTGTTATAAATGAAAAGATAGTTTTTGGAAAATGGTCATAGTAAGGAATTTGTGAAAAAAAGGGAAAAATTGTACAAGAGGTGGGGAGAAAATGTCCAAAAATTATAAAAGGATGTTAGGATGGGTTTAAAACTTTAGTTTAAGAAAGATCAGTGCCTTATATTTATCATTAACGCGATGTCGTCAAAAAAATACTCAAGATTGTAGTATCGATTTATATACATTTTTTGAAGAGGAGAAGTTTTCTCCTAGTGAAATAGAGGAGTTTCTCAGCGATTTAGATTTCACAAACTTTATGGCAAATTTAGGCGAAATAGAGTCAGTGAATTTAGAAGAAATTAAAAGTGTAAATGAGGAGGCAGTTTCCGTAGGAGTGAAAAGGAAAAGTGATGGTGAAGAGGAAGTGCTAAAAAAAAACATGCGGGGAATCATTACATCCAGTTCGACAAAGTGGCAGTGGAATTACCCACACAGTTAAGGTCTGTCGACAAAAGGACAGAATTAGTGGCGGAGTATAACCGCCAAGGACCACTAGGAGTATACCATGTGAGGGGTATATATTATTCTATAAAGAATAATCAAATGGTGGTGGTAAGTAACTTAATTTTTAATATTTTAAATATTGTTCAATAATTTGAATTGAAAATAAAAAAAAATTCATTATTACAGGTTCCCGCAAAAGCCTTTATTGAATCGAGAGGAAAAAGGTTCGAAAGGGTATATCCAGAGCTCTTGTATGATGGAGTGACATATACGCTTCCATACGAATGGCACGAATATCCCGTGCATTTAAAAGTTGCACTTGTAAAGGAGATGAGAAAGTCTCATCAAGGGGCAAGGTGGTTTATGGGCAGGCAGTATTATTATAAAAAAAATATAATTTCGGATTTAGTGTAAAAATAAATATATTTGTATTTTTAATGTATGTATGTATGTATTTTGTGTGTGTGTAAATAAATAATATTTTATATTAAAAATAATAAAAAAAAATTTATAGGAAAATTTTAAAAATCAGAAAAACAAAAATTTATACTACACTAATTTGCAAATATCTCGGTAAGTACTCACCCGATTTTTTTTTGTGCTCATGTTAAAGCTAATTAAATTCTCTACAAAAAAGTATTGATGACATTTTTCAATTAGACTTATAGGTCGCGCAATATTTACGTTTTTATCTGACAGTAACTTTTTTGAAAAAAAGAAATTTTTAAATTTATTGATTAAAAAAAAACGTGATTGCTTTTAGTTCTTCAATCGGCATTAAAGTGTCATCTTTTACGAAGAAAATAAACTATTGTAGTTGATTATTGGATTAAAAATAGAGAAGATATAAAAAATT